GGAGTGCTGGTGCCCATCCCCAGTACTGGCTGCTTGCTGCAGCTGTTCCTGGAACCATTGCAGGATCCACAGGACTCCCCCCGGCAGCGAGATCAGCTGTGTGGGGATCCTCCCCATGGAGCAAGATGGCCATGGGCGGCAGTAAGATTGGCGCGTGGAGCATCCCACAGGAGTGTGGGGGGGGGGGCCCTCCACTTGCTCACTTCTGGGTCCACCAGGGAGCATGCTGGGAGGACCACCCCCAGTCAGTAGGATCAGCTGCAGTGGGACCCCACCCTGGGAAGCAAGATTGGCCACAGGGGGCAACAAGATTGGCTGTGGGGGGGACCCCTCCCAGTCAGCAGGATTGGCCGTTCGCCCCCCCTCCCCCTGTAGGACAGGCCACAGGGGGTGGGGGGGTACATGCCCCCACTGACTAAGGCAACACCAGTTGCCCATGCTACAAACTGACTGCCCAGAGGAGTTTTCCACTTACTGACTCCTCTGTGAAATCCTATGAAATATGAACTTTCATTTCTACCCAGTAGAACTTTTGCAATCTTTTCAAGGGTGCCTGATGAAGTGTGTTTGTGCCCGAAAGTTTAGAATTAAAGAATTTTTTTTTGCAAAAATCTTGCTCGTCTGAAAAAAAAGCATCTCTCCCACGAGTCTTGATTGCTCATAGGTTATGAACACTTTTACTAGTATTGCTCGTACATTGTAGTAGGGGTAAAATCGTAGAAATACGGTAATTACCATACACCCGACAGCGCTACTCTAGCTCACTGCCCGCAGGTGCCGCTACAACTGCGCCTGAGCTGCACCAACGTCCCCCATTGCGCATGCGCTTCCCTGCCGGAAGGAGCTGAGCTGCGGAAGGAAGCGCTGTGCGTTTTTTTAACCGGGAAGAACTAATGGAGGACGGCTCAGTGCCCGGATGTGAGCAAGCCACGCCCCTTCCCCGCGACGGCGGCTCGGAGGGAGATGGCAGGGGGGCACACGCCGCGCTGACCTCGGCGCCCCGCCCCCTCCTCCCTCCCCT